GGCGCCGGGCGGGGGCAGCGCCAGCCCGGGCCTTCACCGCCCGCTCGCTGGGCGAAGGGACGCACCAGGGAGCGCTCGGCTTTTCTCCGTGCAGCCGGCCGGCAACAGGGGCCGCAGGCAGGGAGACAGCACGTCTGGAAGCCGGCTTTCCGGCCCACAGCCCTCCCCAGCTCAGCGCCAACCTGACATCTGCTCCCCGCAGCTGCCCGCCAGCATCAGCACCCAGCAAAGCGAACGGGGCACGGGAAGACCCAGAAGAAAACACTGCTGTCTGCCTTTGATCGCTTCACGTCCATTGTCACTTCTGAAGCCAAAGGTTGGTGTGACAGCCGCAGCCAGGCAAGCAGAGAACACGGCCCCCAGCTCCGTGCCTGCACCAGCCACGCTTCAAGCATCTCCATGTTTGAGCAACTGGCTTGTACCTGGAAGGGTTGTAGTTTGTCACTGTGTTGAGGACACGTCAAGCTGCCAGCTCAGTGTCTGAACTCCAAGGAAGAGTTAGGCTAGGCAGTACAGCTGGTGAATCCCCAAAGTGCCTGCTTTCGGAGCACACATTCAGGTGTTTTGTTTAGCAGATGACTCTGTTCTTGTTCTTAAGTTGGCATGGGCATACTCAAACCCAGGAACTGGATCTGCAATTGGATCTACATTCACAAAGTGTCCTTGAAGGGGCACAGAATGCTTGGCTCTCCTGCAAGTCTTTGAAGTATAGGGCATAAACCCATTTACCTCTTTAAAAAAGATCCATCACTCATTGAAAAAAAAAAAAAAGGGAACTTTCTTATATCTCCTTCTGTTTCAGTGCAGAAACATTCAGCCAAACTCATCTCTCCCCCAAAGACCCATTGAGAACCTGGTTTGAGTATTGCTTTTAACTGCACAGCACTGGCCCAAATACAGTTTTAGTAAATGCTTCATTTGAGGCATTTTCACAGAAGGAAAACAGGAATAAGCAAAGAAAGTATAAGAAGTCCACATTTTTATGGTTCATATTTGGCAGGAGCAGGTAGCATGGTGGTTTGCTCTGACTCGGAAGTCTTCAGTCTGGCCAAAGGCCTGCCTTCAGAACAGTCTGACACAGCAGCCACCACAGAAAAGGCAGCTGTGCTGAGAAGTAGGCAAGTGCCTCCAGATAAAGCCAAGGCAGCAGACTTGTTCAGCATCAAAGTGCTCGACAAACTCAGCAGGACACTTAGACACAGACTTCCTACTTAAACACTTAAGCTCTCCAACTTCCACCGCTTTTTGAATTAATACAAACAACTAAAAATCCATTTCCATCTCTGGATAAACTTCCATAGACATATTAAGCTAGTATATACTCAGCAGAAGTCATTAGTCTCCCAGGCAGGCTTGTTGCTTCAAGGGCTACCTGTGTGCCTTTTCATTTCTGTTCACCTCCCCGCATTTACAATCTCCATGTGCTATCCAAGTGTGGCAAATTCGGGTAAGAAAGCATTTCTCTATTCTTTGAGAGTTAGAAAGTTCAAGCCTCACCCTCAAACATCAAGACTAAACCTTCTGGCAGTAACAAGCAGAAAGTCAACAAGTAGGCCAATAAGGAAAAAACTGATGCAATAGCACCAGTTAATCTACAAATTATTCTACATCTGAGTATTTGTAAATCAGTAGCCACTTTCACAGGTTAGTATTTCAGAACTACCAATTCAGTCCTTTCTCCTTAATGCCTGTGGAGTGCCAGCTTTCAAGATTGTTGTCTCCTTTGAATCACAGACATTGAGCTGTTGCCGTTAGTCCGTTCTGCTAGCATGCGACAGTAAAACATTGCTTTCCAAACTTGCTGCATTTTTGTGTGAAAAAACACCCTGAAGCCCACCAGCTTTACCTACATCTTAACATGTCAGTGAAACACTAGAACAGTCTAACCAAAGCCTGTAATAAAGGGTTGCTGCTTTGTACAACAGTTTGGTAAACAACTCATTTATTTTAAATTAAATCTTCATTGCACATAGGGGATAAGGAAACAAAGGACAATTGGTAGGAAATAAAACGAAACAGGGTTCCAATAGAGAGATAACCCTTTTTGCCTTAGAGCAACACAGTTTAAATACATCCATTGCAGCAGATCCATGAACAAACTGTTGATCAGACTCAGTTTGACTGTATCAGAACTGTTAGAATTCGGTTGTCTTAATGCAGTTCATCAGATAATCTATAGCCATCTTCAAAAACATCCTTGTGTGAGTGAAGAGCAACACCTAAACACTTGGAAGATCACAGATGTCAATAATTCTTCATTTCAATGCAAGTTCAGAACTTGAGTAGAGGGGAATCCAGATTTTCTTTGTTTACATCAGGACTCAGAGTGATAAGAGGCGAACTCAAATCAATTAGCTGAAGGAAGAAGTGATAAAGTTTAGGTATCATAGTCAGCTGTTGTACATAATAGACTGTCACTGCTTGTAGTTAACAGAGTCAAGTACTTTGGTTTTGGTTAGGATTCCTATTAGTATCCAGCAGACAGATACAAGCACCACACTCGAGCTTTTAGGTTCAGACTTTTAAAAATCTAGTTCGTTCTTAGACAAGCACAAGCTACTAACAAGATGGTTATTGCCCAAATTCACTTGAAAAGCCTACAAGGCTTCTCTAAGTTCCACTACGGTGCCTATTCAAGTGACACCACCGTGCAGGCAGGGCAGAGCACTTCTGAACGTGCCCCCAGAAGTCAGACTCCTGTGGTTCTCTTTTGAGAGACTTTGAAGAACCTGATACTGAACTGATACCAACTACATCCAGTGTCAAAGGCTACATCCTCAGTTACCACCACGCACCTGGCAACATCTGAAGGCATCTACCTTCAAGCCACTAGTGTACAGAACACACTCGCTGAGAAATGCTTGTCAAATTTAGACTAAATACCAATGCACATCTTTCAACTAAGGAGGGGATTAGAAGTTGAGCATGAGACAGCCTTGCTTTTTTTTTTCCCTGAAAATGAGCTGCCACCAAGAACTGAAAATTTGCAAGAAAAGGAAAACAAAAGTAAGCATGTCTACTTCTAAAGGGCACATTCACTTCCTGCTTCAGAACAGCTTCATTCTTTAACGACTGCTTTAAGCATTAGGTTCTTTCTCCATCCTCCTCCTTTTCCTGTTTGCAGGTTGCTCACTGAGCACTAGTTTAGAGCACATTGGTGTTAAACACCATGTTCTCTGTACTTAAGAGCACCTTAGTATGTTTTCAACACAGTACCCCATATTACACATATTGAGCTAATACTCAGTAATTCTTACAGTATCATGGAGCTGCTCTGCAGACAGGTATATGCAGTTTTCTGCTAGCAGATTGGGACCAGAAGACTTGACTGTAACTTACCTTTACCTGCCCTGCCAATATAGGCTTTAGAGGGGTGATCTTACTCACTTCAGGAGTATTGGAAAGGTCAATCAGAGGTCTACTGTCACATTCCAAAGTGTGTGGGAGAGATTTGTCTACTCCAATGTCTACCAGTAAAGCCTTAAAAAATAAAGATAGTTCAGGTTTTCCCCTCTGTTCTCCATGCTTCCTTCATAAACATTTATGCAGTGAACTTAGCTGTAATAATCACAGGACAAGCATAATCTACAGGTTGGGTATTTTTATGCAGGGTTGTTTGCACAGTATAAAAAAATCTCAGCTCTTGCCCTGACAATGGCCAGCATCACCAATAGGGAAACCGCAGCGAGACAAAGCAAAAGAGCTCCTTGGGGCATAAAACTATTTTTGACAAAAGCAGAGTTCAGTCAAATATAACACATAAGAGTCATCACTTAGTTTTTAAATGACTACAATTATTGTGCAATGTTATTTAGCCATATAAACTATACAGTAGAGCTCAGTGTACTTATGCTTTTGTCCAGTTCAACGCTACATGTGTGCTAGGCAATTCTGTAATAGATACTTCATGTCACCAAGTAGGTCAACAAGGAAAAAACTGATGCAATAATATCAATCTACAAATTATTCTACATCTGAGTATTTGTAAATCAGTAGCCACTTTCACAGGTTAGTATTTCAGAACTACCAATTCAGTCCTTTCTCCTTAATGCCTGTGGAGTGCCAGCTTTCAACATGAAGCCAGTAGATTCTTGGGAGAGGGGAAAAACACGTGTCCCCTAGACTAAGTGTATGACACTTAGCTAAGTTTACTGCTCCATGGGCTTGAGGGATTATTCCTCAGTCATTGTATGTAATTTGTGCTGCTGTCACGTGACTGAATTTAGCTACAGCAGTGCATTTTAAAATATTTTTTCAAAAGGGCTGCAATAGGAACTGCCTTGTGACGCTGCTTTTCTAACCAAATCCACAAGGATTTCACAGCGTTTCTCCAGAAGTGGAAGGTTAATATGCAATCTGCAAGTATTTGTTCAGCTTTGCTATGGGAACAAACTTCGTGGAAACACTGATGTTCAGTACTAAAAATAGACACTAGAGGGCGCGCGCACAGAGGTAATCCATTTTAACTTTGCCAGTACAGAAGTGTTTTTCCTACTTATCTTGAAATAATTTCTTTTCAAGCCGCTTACTTAACAGCTCTCTGGAAAAACGTATAGTCATTTCTTACCTCAGTTTGTTTCTTTTCAGCCAGTGGATTTTGTACATCATCTTTTAATTCATTTACTACTACTTCTGCAGCAGTTTTTTCTGGAGAGAAGTTAAGTGCAAGAGGTAGCACAGGTGGAGGAGATACATCATCTTCTGAAGACAGCTGTGTCTTACTCTCTTTTGTCTGTTTAGAACTAAGGAAAAGAGCATTGACAATAATTGAGTTTAGTAGTTTGTGCTGATTAAAGACAGACAAGCCAGTGCCCTAACAATTTTTTTTACCCCAGTTTTAATGGCCAAAAAGCTTCCCATATTTTCATCCAAAAGTATGCTAGTTACCTGCAAAATACAAATATATTTCATGCTGCAATAAATTTATAGTCCACCCATGCAAAAAAGGAGCTTCATCTTCAGGATTAAGAGTTTGATCTTAAGTTGACATATACATACAGCCTAAACTTCACACATCAGTTCTTGGCTTCTGTAAGACTGTGAAGAAACAGCTAGCAAACAAGAATGGATATTGCAAATCACCAAGCAACTCGCTTCAGTCCCTGCTGAGAGAAAGCACTGACACTAGCTGGAGGACCAGGGATTGTAATCCAATTAGTTTGGTAAAGTCGTTGTAAAGGAATTTTTTCTTTCAGAGAAAAGAGTGTTTTGGCCTAAGTAACATAACACACACGAAGAGTTTTTCTAGCCATGAGTCGTTCCTGCTTTAATACCATTTATCTCCACCAACCATGAAGCAAGCCTGCACACATATATACAGCACTTGTGCGAAGATGCTGGGCTGATAATAGGAAAAAGGCCGTATTATTTTCACATAAACCAAACATTTAACAACAGTACAGGGTTCACCCATTCTGCAAGCAATTATTTCAAATGAAACATAGGTAAACCTGTTCAGTAAATAAAGATCAGTCAAATTAAATCCTTGGCTTTTTGACAGATGCTTTAACCAAAGTGTAATTTTACAGAAAGCGTTGGCAACGGCATAAAACGAAGTGAAGAGTAATACGTATTCTAACCAGTTACTTCCCTTCATCAGAAGGCAATAAATAGCAAAATAACACCAATGCCAAATCTGTTTTCAGTCAGAGCATCAGATACAAGTCAAGTTGTCTGCTAGCTCAAGAAATACAACTAACTTCCTGTTAGAGATTATAATTAATAAATGTTAGATATTGACTCATTTCAGTAAGGCTTATAGTATTTTACTCACAAGAGTAAAGATACAAGTCACAGGATAGAAGTCTTTTAGGCATACACAGCATCTCTGCTCAAATGCTTCATACCAACACTTAGCAGAGGTCCTTGAAACCTTACAGTCATCATTAAAATCATTTAGAGTCACTCTGCCTACAATACGCATTTCGTATATGGGGGTTTCTGTCTTACCCAGCTCTAAGAGTCTTTTTCATAGAAAGGCTGGAACTTTGGCAAACAGATGCAGCATATGGAGAAAATGCCATTTTCGGTGCAGTTTTAGGAGTCGCTGCTGGAAATCCTGAGATACGACGAATGGGTGTAGGTAAGCCAGACCGCCTCAGACTGGCGGGAGTCATGGAGACAGACCTCTCAGGAAAACAGGAATTCTGAAAGGTCCCATGTTCTGAGATTTTCACAGGAGTGCTGACTGCCATGGCACTAAAAAAGGAACATGCATTAGCAAAAAGCTTCTAGAAACAGTTCCATTCAAACTATTCTACCAAATAATAGAAATGTTTCCCTTTGGTCAGTAAGGGGACAGTAATCATGATAAATTTGATAATCACAGCATACTAAGGGCTTTGCTTCACAAGAATTTTATGAATTACTAGTCTGTTTAGCACTGCAAAAAAAACCCCTCTTCTGAGGAGATGGGGGTGAGGCTGTTCAGTTTAGTTTCAGGTTTTCTTGGTTTCGTTTGTGTGGGTTTTTTTTAATCAGTCCCAATAGGCATTAACACATCTGACCTGGAGGGTCTTGAGGGACTAGACGGTGAAATTAAACTTTTAAAGATTGTTGCAACACCCGACCATGGTGCATTTTAAGAAGTATGCATCAGCACATTCAATTTTCAGTTAACCCTTACCTTCCAAGTGTGCCACAAAATGTTAATCCAAGAGACAGTGGCTCTTTTGGTGCTGATTTGTTTGATGGTGTATCTAAAGAGAAAAGTTTTGTTAACAGCTATCTGCATTTATATTTTTTTATAACAGTATTTTAACTTAAATGTATCTAATTCCTTCCAAAACGTGGGTAGAATGTAATGTAACAAATAACAAGCACTGAAGGTAAAATTTGCTTTTAGCAGCCAAGCTAGAGTACAGGTCATGCAAGTTATGTGCTTACCTCCAGTCTTCACTGGAACCTTAGTTTGACTTGTAGGAACAGACAGAACTCTAGCCCTGGGCTTTGGACACAGACTTCCTTTGGCTGCACTTCCATCTTTATTCTGCTGGCATAGCTTCTGCAGATTGGGAACAGAGCTCAGCCTCTGAATTCCACTGCCTACAGCCTCAGCTGATGTTGCAGAAGCTGAAGATTTAACCAAGCTTACAGCACTAGATGTTTTGGGAGTACTAGCTGATCTTGCTTGCTTCTTGGATTTCTCAGTATCAGCAGCTTGCAGAGTTGACACTCTGGTAGGTCTGACAAGGGCCAGCCTGTTTGTGCTAGATGAGAGCTTAGCACCACTCACATTGGCTTTTGAAGACATGCTGGATTTTCCTGAAATAGAAAGTTATACTTCTGAATCATTGCTTATTGCTAGGTTTTTGACTAAGCAGAATAATTACACTCACACAGGAAAGAAAAACAGCAATTTACAACACTTATGTTCAAACAACTCAAGTTTAAGGAGAACACATACAACTACTGAAAACTTACTCCCTGATTTCCCCAGCAATTTTGCCTGGTTTAGAATGTCTCATCACCCAATTCCTGAATTACTGCAATCAAGCCAAAGATTATTCAAGGAATGCCAAAACAGCTTGCAGATTTCAGTTAGATTTTCAACATTTTCTCCAAGCATAGCTGGCTCTGTTCCCTTAAGCAGGCATTCAAAGTAGTAGTTCAAATTACCCTGATTAACACCATGGGCTGAACTAACCAAATGCTTTTCTCAGTTTTCTGTATGGTTCTTACTTTTAGCCTGTAGGTTACTTTCATGAACAGGATGAATCTTGATAGACACTTGTATTAAAAAAAAAAATCACAAGTGGGAACTAGGCCTTCCACCGTCCTTCTGTATTCCAGTTGGTTTGGTGGTGTTTGGTTTTTCTTTAAAATTCAAGTTAGACAAGCTTACAGCATTCAGAAGCTCACATACTTGGCCATAAAAGAGAAGGTCATGTACAAAAAGAAGTGGTTTCCTGAGGCATTGCTTAATTCTAGCTGTGTCAGACCCTTGCGTGTAGGCATCAGGCTTACATGAATCTAATCTTCACACAATAGAAGCTTAACTTCTATCTCTAGTCCACAGGAATTTATTGGGCTAACCTACAAAATTTTATTCTCCATTCAAAACCTTTCTTACTACTTGTATATACTGGACACCATTAAAACCTCTCCAAACCCACAGTCCCAGACACGCTTAGCTACTTCAAAACTGATCTGTGGCACAAATACGTAGTAAGAGTGATTACCATTTTTTCCTATGGGAGAAATGGGTAGACTTGAATTCAGACTTGAGTTCATGCTGGAAACTGATGATGTAGTCTTTCTTGTGAGACCACTGGCAACACCAGGAAGTTTCAGATGTGTTATCTTCTTTAAGCCAGGCTGAATCAGAGAATAGTTTATTCAGAAGAAAAAAAATATTTAACACATTTTTCTTGTTATTACACCTTTTGATTTGTGAATTTTAGAGAAGTTCCTTCCTCACATTACAGGTTATAAAGTGAATTGTCTTAGAAACAGTTCATTATGTCTGGGTTATAATAAAGAACTGGAACATCAGATCTAGGAAGTGGACTGTTATTTTTATTCCTGCCACAAACTTGAGTATGAACTTAAAGGGATTAAAGGATAAAAGGAATAACCCCAGGCACCAGTATATGCTGGGCACCAGCTTGCTGGAAAGCAGCTTTGTACAAGAACAGGCCTGTGGGAGTGCTGGAAGACAAGCTGGATGTGAGCCAGCAGTGTGCCCTTGCAACAAATGGTACCCTGGGCTGCATGAGGAGTATTGCCAGCAGGTAGAGGGAGGTGATCCTTCCCCTCTGCTCACTGCTGAGGCCACACCTGAAGATCTGTGTCCAGTTCCAGGTTCCCCAGTATGAGAAGAATTTGGAGCTACTGGGAAGAGTCAAGCAAAGGGGCACCAACATTAAGAGACTGGAGCAACTCCCATCTGAGGAAAGGTTTAGATGCTGGGATTGTTCAGCCTAGAGAAGAGAAGACTTGAGGCAGCTCTCATCAATATTTACAAATACCTGAAAGGACAGCATGCAGTGGTGTCCAGTGACAGAACCAGAGGCAATAGGCACAGACTGAAACACAGGAGGTTCTATCTCTAAACATCAGGAAATGCTTTTTCACTACAAGGGTCACCAAGCACTGGCACAGGTTGCCCAGAAAGGTTAAGTCTCCATCCTTGGAGATATTCAAAAGCTGGTCGTCTGGCTCTAGGTGGCCCTAATTGAGCAGGGGGTTGGACCAGATGGTCACAAAAGGTCCCCTTCCAACCTCAACCATTCTGTGATTCAGCGAAGTGGCATGCAGCATAGAAGTAGGCGTCTAAAGCTTCAAAACAACTCTAGACAGCTATAGGTGTTCTGTCTTCGTAGATGTCACGGCAACCTTTTCATATGGTATAATTAACTACACGCATCAAAAACTTTGTTTCTTACAGGAAATTGCTGATCACTTACCTGAAGCTAGTGCTTTAAAAACTATGGTAATGCTTGTTAATCCAACACATTTATAGTTACTCTTTAATATGTTCATTGAGACTTAAAATATGCATTCAAGAACAGCAGTTACAGAACAGTGAATACTTTTCCTTAAGAGCATTATACACAACAATATAGCTTTAAAATTAGAAAGTAAACTACATTGGAAGATCAAAAAATTATTTTCATATTAAGAATGTTTGCCATTACCTTACTTAGTGCAGGGAGGGCTGTTTTGTTTTGTGCTGAGGAACTGCCACCAAACGAAGACTCAAAGACATCTGAAGCAGAAGCGTACTTATCAGAAATTAGATCTTCACATGATCCTATGCTGTTCAAGTCTCTTCTTGTTGAAATACTAGTGTGTTTTCCTGGTTTGGGCTGCAAATTTCAATGCAACATTTTAAAAGCTACTAGTGTTTCTAGAAATCACTATAAAGCTTTTTACACAAATTGGTTTTGTTAAGAAACTGAGACAACAGTCAATAAAGAAGCCTTTGAACCCAGTCAAGTCCTTAGTCTTTAGACTAATACGGTTTAAAGTTACTCTAGTGAGTGTATTTGCCAAGTACTAGAACATGCTTGAACCCAGATATTGGACACGGGCCTAAGGACAGTTCCTCAACAATTCATCAGCACAAATTTAATATAATCATGTTCACCTCCATACCATAACAGCCATTCCTTACAACCAAGACTTCCATTTAATTAATATTCTGCTTTACTCTACCCATTCCAAAAATGAGACATTCCAGTAGCAGAGTGCATCACCCACACTGTATTTAATAGTGGGGTACAGTTTGGTTAAAGCATTAAGACTGTGCCTTTCCTTATAGCACCCAAAATCAAGAAGAGACTTGTACCACAATGAATTAAAGGGTTCCCTATTTTCTACAGCTGTGATGGCTCCCAAGGAGCCGATATCACATTTGCAGTAAAATCTGCAGTGCATACTGGAGCACAAGCCGTAAGGTGTAGAGCAATAAAGTCCAGAAGATATTCTTTCTATTGACTGGGATTTGTGCACACAAGGTCACCAACACAACTGTTTCCTTACTACGCTAAAACACATTTTCAGTCGGTCACATAGCCACATCCTAAATGTAATATCATTAATCAGTGCTTTTCATGGTTGAAACACGTTGTGAACAGAGCTAGAGCTAAAAGATTTTCAAATTTCAATATCAAAATAATTGTGGGGGTTTCCCCTCCACACACCCCTCCACTGACAAGGGTTACCAGTAAACAGAAGCCATTTTTGCACTAAGAACAGTGCAGTAATTTTACCAGTAACAAAACTGTGTTCAAACAGAAGCCAGGAATTATGGTATTCACAAAACCAAAATAATTTGGAAAATAAATTTGCCTGCAGATGTTCTACATTGTCATAATAGATAAACTAGTTGGCTACTATATCATAGTATCTGCCCTGACTTTTCTTTTTTATATATAATGTTTCCTGCCTAAGGACCTTATGAGGCAGAGAAACATCAGAAGATTAAAGTGCACTTTTAAAAATAAAAGCTTGTACACAGCTTAAACACTCCTACAACACACAAAGGCCATGGTTTAAAGAAAACATTGTTGCCCAGAAGCTGTCTTTACCTTTTCAATAGTCAACAAATGGTTTTTTCCAAGAGTAGATGAAGGTTTCACCACTGGCAGTTTGCCATTTGCCTTCACATTACTTTCCTTAGTTTTCAGTTCTTGTGTCAGAGGTGAACTGGCAATTGTTGCAGGAGATACACAGATTTTAACAGGGCTGATATTTGGAGGAGTATTACTAAGAACAATTGTTTGATCACCTGACAAAAGGTTATCAGACTCCTTCTGAAAACAAGGTGGCAGCTGACATGCTGGGCTATCCTGCACACAGTATGTCTCCCTTTTAACAGCCTTGGGACTTGTCTCTTTATTTTGGTTTCTCAGTATTTTCAATTTTGACTTCGAGTCGTCCACAAATTTTTCTATAATCTTGTTTTCCTGTTCTTCTGACTGGCTTATTTTAGTCTGTTCATTCTTGCTTCCAGTCTCTATTTGCAGTGCTAACAAACGAGCTTCTTTGAAAATTTCCACAAATTTCTCTCCTGTAAGTGGGCTCCACATCAGTTTATCATCAGAAGCAGGTGCACTCTTTTTTTCAGCACTTTTGTTTGTTTCAATATTGACAGCAATACATTTTTCTTTGTGCCCCAAAGGTCCAACAAAAACTTCATCTTCATCTCCACTACAAAGAAAAATAAATCAGCCCAGCATCTTACGTGTGTCCATTTTAAAAGGTAATATTTATAGAATCATAGAATGGTTTCGGTTGGAAGGGACCTTAAAGATCATCTAGTTCCACCCCCCCTGCCATGGGCAGGGACCCCTTCCACTAGACCAGGGTGCTCAAAGCCTCATCCAGCCTGGCCTTGAACACTTCCAGGGATGGGGCATCCACAGCTTCTCTGGGCAACCTGTTCCAGTGCTTCCCCACCCTCTCCGGGAAGAACTTCTTCCTGATACCTAATCTAAACCTCCCCACGTTCAATTTCAACCCATTACCCCTTGTCCTGTCACTACAGGCCCTTGCAAAAAGTCCCTCCCAGCTTCCTTGTAGGCCCCTTCAGGTACTGGAAGGCAGCAATAAGGTCTCCCCGGAGCCTTCTCTTCTCCGGGCTGAACAAGCCCAACTCTCTCAGCCTGTCCCCATAGGAGAGGTGCTCCAGCCCTCTGAGCATCTTTGTGGCCTCCTCTGGACTCACTCCAACCAGTCTATATCCTTCCGATTTACCTGCAGACCCTTCACTTACCTTGCTGGAGAGAGTGAAAGGTCAAAATCAAACTTTTCATCAGTCAGAAGAGTTAAGTCTGAAACTACAACAACAACGATTTTGTCATAGTAGGGATTTGCAATAAAAATGATTGCATCATGCTTTGACAATTTGGTGCAAATGACGTCAGATGGCAAAAAAAAGTTTTAGTTACAAAGTTTAAATAATTAAAATAATAATAACATATTATAGATCAAAGAAATTGAAGGTACAGCTGTGACTATGATCACAATTGTCATAGATGCTCAAATATCATGAAAGATCTCAATGCTAATTTCTAAGCATCAATAATAGGAATATGGAAGCTATCTATGGCAAAGGGTATCAGCAGACTCCAATAAGTGAGAATATATAATCTAGAGCTATACAACAATGCAGTTGTCCTATCACTCAGTTCTTTTCCAGACCAGACCACCTCAGGACAGTAACAGGAGCCAGTAAGAAAGATGAATTTTCCTGTTAGCTAATATATACAGCAAACATTACTTGCATCCGCAGCAGACAGATAAGGAAAAGGGAGGAGCTCAGATTAGATATGTAGAGGAGAGGTCGATAACGTCATAACAAGGTACAAAGCAGATACAAGGAGGTCTACTGATCTGAACTGCCCTAACTTTTAATAAGATATACACCATTTAGAGACTAATCCAACATGTTCTCCACTTACCATTGTTCATGCAAATGCCCTTTTTTTCTTCAATCACATCACTGGAGCAAAGTGCCACCGTTTCTTTTCCTTCGTCCATAGCGTCTGGAAAATACAGAATTAGCTATGCAGTTGGTTTAATAAAAGAACAATCAGGTAACAGAAATTTATGATACTACCAAATTAGCAAGGAGAAGGGACAGCCACACAAGCATGGTTTATGGGATGTCATACATCTCGCCATCCTCTCTTCTAACAGGCCATTGAATCATCTGAGACTGTAAAGTATTGCATCTTCCGTAAAAAGCCTTCAAATACAACAGTGATGCCTGGGATTTCTGAAATTCCTTAATGAAAACTCTTTGTACTCGGCAACTGAACTTCTTAAGTGAATACAACTGCAATGCACAGCACGGCTAGAGCTGCAGAACACTGCCCCCTCACAGGCTAGAAAAGCCTATTTTACAGCACTGATTCGAGACTGGCATCACCGAGACCCCGCACTTTGCTCCACGAAGGAAACGCATGCTGTGCCGTTGGCTTGTGGGCAGAAGCCCATCAAATACGATCATCCTGTGAGCAAAGGTAGACTCGTCCCTGCCTTAACCTAACCCGCTCAGGCTCCGCCGAGACGTGAGCCACGAGACCCTCAGGTACCTTATGCCAGGCCGAAGGGATTAACGCCGAGCGCGGGCCTACCAGGACTGGTCCCTCACGGGCAGCTCAGCAGGGCCCACCGCAGCCGAGGGAACCTCACACACATCCCCGGGCGAGAGGGAGCTGCCCGGCGTGCGCGCAGCCTCTCACAGGCCA